ACTAAATCGTTATCACAAGAAGTTCGCATCACTTTGAAATCCCGGATGCCATAAACAAACTCGTTACCCATGACAACATGGATAGAATTCGCTTTTATTTTCGAAATGAATAATTTTTCTGTTTCGACTCCACCAAATTTATAGTGCTTAGAGTGACCGTGTAGTAGATAGGATGAAAAACCTTCGAAAATTCTAGAAAGTTCCTAAAAGCGATCCTGAGCGATCCTAATAGCGAACTTTTGCAAGTCATATATATATGTACTTTGATCACCGAATCCTACAGTGACTATCATTATCATTTTCTACATTCCATATTTCTTGTAAATCGTATCAGAAGTCGATTCTATGTCATTCTGCCGGACTTGCATTCGACTAGTCATCTCTTTTTTTGATTAGCTATGACTCAAGCTCATTGTCTTTTTGCTCAGTTCACAACACGATTTTTGAGAAAATCCAGGTTGTTGCAAATCGGCCTCATTTTGTTAGCCAATAACTTTATTGCCTTCAGTTTTCTTATGTTGCTTTGAGCATCCAATTTGATTGACTGGTTTTCTTTCTTACAAACCCGAAATAGAAATTTATGATTTATTCATTTTCAATTTCCTTCTTTCTCCATCTTCCACTTTTATTTCACAATGTTTGAAACGATTTCATTATTCACAGAAAATTCTCATGTAACCATCATATAAAGCTTGGATCACGAAATGTTGCCTATTTGATAGTGGGTCATAGCCATGTAGCTGTAAATTTGTTTCAGTTTGTTTTAGCTTTTTTACCTATTCTCTGTAACGTTTCTGGACCACCTATCCATTACCTCTTTTGCGATAACGATGTGTGCACTATATGTGTACCCAGCCTACCTTCTCCTTCCAGCCCAATTAGGTTGACGTGCTCCATGAGCTCCAGGATTCATGTAATTTGTAGTTTCATCTCTATCCCTCTTGTGGGCGTCTCTTAACCTACAACGATATCATGAGGGGTCCACATCACTTTGAAATCCCGGTTGCCATAAACAAACTCGTTAACCATGGCAACATGGATGGAATTCAGTTTATTTTCAAAACTTTGTTTTCTGTTTCGACTCCACCAAATTGATGGTGCTTAGATTGAGCGTGTAGTGTCAAGGCTAGAATCATACGAAGATCTTAAAAAGCTAGTCAAGACGATCCTAAGCGATCTTTGCAATCCTGATAGCGAACTTTTGCAGTCTACATGCACTTTGATTCCCTATTCCTACAGTAAACTAGTAGTAGGCTAGTGTAGCTACCCTTATAACTTCCTACATTCCATATTTTTTGTAATACGTATCAGGAGCTGATTCTGATTCTGCCGGACCAGCATTTGACTAGTCTTTTCCTTTTTTTCTAGTTAGCAATGAGTCAAGCTTATTGTATTTTTGCTCACTATCAGTTCATGAGATGATTGTCGACACCGGAAGATGCCGCTTCTTGCAAATGCCCTTCATTCAAACGACTAAAACATCTGTGGTCCATGAACACCAATCCCTCTAACTATACCCGTCGGTAGACCACCCAACGAACGGATCTCTTGTCTAATCTCCTCCGGTGTATCCTTTGCATGCGCGCAATAGTGACCAATTTTTCTCCGAGACAATGCGCACAGAGAGCTCATCATCTATATTAATGCTCCACCAACCACATTCTCTACAGGTGGCCTGGGCCGTCCCGCTCCATGTTTTCGATCGCTTTGGAAGACAGCGTTTGCTTGTTTTGTTGATGCTCTCAAACTTTTCCTATGTATGAATCCTATGCATCGCCACACCATTTGTCTCTCTTCACCTTGCGAGACACACAACATGACCTCAAATCTATAGGAAAACTCTTTCCGCCTCTTATTATGGTCCACCGGAGGACAGGTAAATGACATCATGACACGGCAGAAGGCATGTGTCATCTCGTGTGGTGTAAACGAGCGCACCACTCACTAACACCTTCCCCTTTTCCACCACACTAATTATCTTTTTTACTATTTTGCCTAGATCGATTAACTTATTTTCTCTTTGATTTGCTATTGGTTAATTTCTGGACGTCTGAGCTTATTTTTGAAATAACGGACAGTTTGGTCCTCGGCCGACTGCGGCTCTTGTATCAACCAATGTTTGTGATAACTTTTTTTCGTGAACTGAGAGTAGAAACAAAAGCCGTCATTAAGCAGTTCTCTTGACAATACTCTGAAGCAGAAAGTTATTTTCATTTTTCAGGCAGAAAGGATTTTCCAAAACTTGTTGTGTTATATGTCATTTTGAAGCATTTTTTGAGCTCTTTCTTTTCCATTTTGACTTTGGAAATTTCCGAATTTGAAACGAGTTATGGGTTCTTCTCAAAAAATTTCGCTCCGAAAAATTTCACCAGTATCCAAGTCACGTAAGTCAAAGCAAGAGCAGTAATTAACACTAAAATGTCCTCTTGAAACCAATCTGAAGCACAACATGTTTCCGTAGTTGTCACAGAAAGAATTTTTCGAAAATTGTCGTGATGTATGCCATTTTGAGGCATTTTCTGAGCTCTTGATTCCGAGTTTTAAATTTTTAGAAATGCCCGAATTCGAAGCGATTTATGGGTCCAAATTTGGCTTAGTGGCTAGTTTTTTTACAGGGCTCATATTTTTTCTTCTTTTGAATCTTCTTTTGAATGCCCATTTTCCATATTTGGCAATTTTGGCAGCTTTTTGGAACAGTGATTCTTTTTTTCAAATTCTCTCGTTTTTTGGTATTCTGTATCATTTTTTGTCTGACATTTCTCTTTTCCTCTTTTAAAGTTGTTTCTTCTTTTATAACTGAAGTTAACTTAAAAGATCTCCCTCACAATCAGACGTTAGTTTTTCAATTTGAATTTTGAAAATCTGTTCGGTTTCAAGCGAGCATAGTTAGAAACCTTGCGTTTTTGGAATTCTCTATCAGTCAGATTAATGCGCATCTTATATCAAGTTGAAGCTGTTTTCTTGGACAATCATTTTTCAGTTTCAATTTGAAGTTTCGTTGAGTTTGAAGAAAGTTATAACCGATTCTTAGCGGCATACTATGGGTGTTCTGGGAATATGCAATTTGTTTGACTTTAATTGTTTATCGGATTTGGATAAAATCGTATTGTACTTATTTGTACTTGAGATCATTTTAAAGCGCATTCATAAAGCTATATTTTGAAATGTAGGTATTCCAAAACGATACGTTCAGTTTGAAGAAAGTTATAGTCACTTTAGCGTTGTTTCCCCCTTTCAGCAAATTTAGCTTAATTTTTGGGGTCCTAAATCGTTTTTTACTTATTTTTATTTTACATCGTTTGGAAGCAAATTCAAGAAGATCCGCTTTGGTGGTCGATCTCCCAACGACACACGTCTTAGTGCACGTTGTCGCAGGATAAGGCGCCGTTGCCGCAAACACTTTCTTTCAGAGAGCTGAATAATATTATTTTTCTTCAGTCTCCTTTTTTTTGCAAAATGGATTTTCCAGAACTATCGTATTGGATGCTTTTTCCAAAAATTTTTCGAGCCTTGCTTTCAAAATTTTCTGTTCTGAAGCTTCCTCTTGGCATTAAGGAAAAACTTGAATTGTTTATCCTAGAATTGGTGATACTATTTTTACAAGTCTCCTTGTTCCTGTTGAAATTCTCAATTTTCAAAGAGCGGTAAACAAATATTTTGCAATTTGAAAAAAAATCTGAAAAATTTTGTTGATAATTTTTTAAAAAATTTCTTATCACCTCTTTTTGTGTTTTAAATAGAAATCAGTTCTTTTTTTGGCGAGTTTTCTTTCTATTTTCAGTTTTGTTTTGAACTTTAAGACTACCCAGTATATTTTGGACCACCCATACCACACACTTTTCTAGACCACCTCTACCAGAACATGTATTCTTATCAGTTCTATCTGTATCATTTTTCCTTTTTTTTTAAATTTTTTTTTCCATCTGTTCTCTATAGATCAACACTTTTATCTGCCCGCTTTTTGTTATTCTTTCTGCAAAAACACAAAATGTCTCAGTGTCTGCGTCTCTTCTCTTTTCCTCTCCTATTTTTTGCATTGTCCCATATGATGCGGGAAAAGAAAAAGTGGACACTATGTTCTAGGTGTGTCTTGTTTTTTATTACTTTCAATTTCAGAAAAAAATTCTTAATTAGAAAAAAAAACGAGAGAAAAACCAAAAATTATGTTTCAGAAGGTTCTCAAAAAATCTGGAAAACAAAGTTTTTTGTTTTTTTTTTTCGTATATTTTCGAGAAGTTAGTCTAGCCATGTTGTATATCATTTTGTAGCTATTAAAATTAGGATCATACTACAGCCTTCAAAATTGAAAAAAATCTAGAATTTGAAGCGAGTTACAGGCCAAAGTGTAACATGACATAGTTAGTTGATTTTTCTCCCAAAACCTTTTTTGTTTAGCATTTTTCAAAATTTTCTAAAAAGTCATTTTAGTCATGTTGCATATCATTTTGAAGGCCTTGCAATGAGAATTTTTATACATTTTTCAAAATCACAAAATCTAGAATTTGAAGCGAGTTATAAGCTACCCAATCTTCTTGCACTATTCATCGTTTTCACAAGGCAACGCGCCAAAGGCGCGCCAGCCCAAGTGTAAACGCGCTCTAATGAGAACCATTGATTTCTAGTGCAAAACAACTGCTTTGTGTCTAAACCCTCTCACTCTCTCAACATTCTTGTTTTCCTTCTTTTTTCTTTGGCCGTCTATTTCTCTTCAGTGCCCCCACACTATTTCCTCTCTGTGTGTCCTAATCTACCACTTTTTAAACTCAATTATCTCGATTCCTATAAAATTTATTAAAATGTAGTTAATTGATAAAATTTTAAGCGTTTTGTGACAAACATTTTATCAGTTGACAAAATTTTGATAGCTTTCATGGGAGCTGAGATAATTGAGTTTAAAAACATGATTCCCATTTTTCTCTTGTTCATTTCTTTATTTGAAGCGTATTTTTTGCTCTTTTGGCTCTTCTAATCCTTAAAAAATCCTAACTACTTTCAGCGAAATGTCAAAGTCTTCTCAAAATTTTGCTGTCGGCGAGCGTTGCGTGTGCATTTGGCATGGTGATAATCAGCCGTACGCCGCACAGATCCTATCAACAAGTGACGGTCACTACGAGGTCCACTACAACGGATTTACTCCCAAATGGGATTTTGTAATTCCAATTGGCCAAGAAGATGGAAAGCTTTTCAAAGGAACACTAGAGGAGTATGCAGAGAAGTATGAAGTCGAGGTCTCCGACTGGGCTTTGCAACACTCGAGGATTCACGACGATCAGTCAGCAACTCCCATGCAGATGGACCCGTATGGCAGAACGTATGCTAGGAGGATCTTCGTGGAAGGCGATGATAGTTCGGGGAGACGGAGATCCAGAAGGTTGACTCTTGGAGGTCCATCGACGTCGGCAGCGTTTCAAGGATCATCGGCCAAGAAGGTGAAGATTGAGAAGCCTGATGATCCCGAAGAAGAGGAGGAGGAGGTCCATCGTTATCCATCTAGAAGACCGAGTCAGAAGATCCCACTGGTTCAGCAGGATCAGCTAATGCCAGGAGCGGAGCAGGATGGATCCTCTCGTCGTCTGCAAAGTTGGAAAGTTGTGGTGAAGGAAGAGCCAGAGGACGAGGAGCAAGAAGAGGAGGAGCCAAGAAGGACCTATAGCCTTCGAAGCCGTACTGTCGAGCCAGAAAAAGATGCGGAGGAATCGGAGGAGGAGAAGGCAGAGATTCAGGAATCGGAGGATGATCCAACTAGAAGAATGTACTCTCTTCGAAGCCGTGCTGAGGTGAAGGAAGAAGTGGAGTCGGAGGAATCAGAGGGATCGGATCAGGAGAAGGAAGAAGAGGAGCCAGTGGAGCCAAGAAGATCTCTTAGAAGCCGAACTGTGGAGCCGGACGCCGATGAGGCAGTGGACTCCGAAGAAGATGAACTGAAGGAATCAGATGAGGGCGACGAACCAGAAGAGGAGGAACTTGAAATTCCAGAAGAAGAGCCAGAAGCACCTGAGGAGCCAGAGGACGAGGAAGAGGCGCCTAGGAGATCCTACTCTCTGCGTAGCCATACTGTGGAGCCGGAAGAATCCGAAGACGATGCGACAGATTATGAGGATGCAGAGAAGCATGTGTTGACGGACGATGATGATGCCGAAGAAGAGCCAGAGCTCCAGGAGCTAGAGCATGAGCCGGAAGAGCCAGCAGCACCAGAAGACCCAGAATCAGAAGAGTCTCCAAGAAGAAAGTACCCCCTGCGCACCACCTCCAACATCCTCGCTTCCCCTCCAAGACCAGCAAAGCGATCGTTGGTTAAGGAGCTTCAAAGTCCAGCTCCTAGACGTCGATGCCCCTTCACCAGACCCGACAATCAGCCCCACTGCTACCCCGACCCAAGCAAGATCGGAACGCTAGCTGGGTTGTTCAACAATCGCTCCAAGATCCGTCTACCAGGAGCGACATACATCATAGAGCACGCTGATCGGAAGATGCAGATTCATGCTTACTGGTGTACTCCGATCGTTCCGGCCGAGGTTCCAGTGGAAGAGATTGTTAATGATGTGAGTTATTCTTCTGTATTGAAATTAGTTAGATTGAGCTAGCTTAGATAGTTCCGAGCTAGCTTAGGTTGTGTTGAGCTAGCTTAGTTTACAAATATATTACTTACAAGTTCGATTGCAGTATATGATTGCTCAAGGACACATTCGCTCCAACCAAACGGCCACCCCAGCTCAGATTGCTCAGCTTGCACCTGGACTCTCCAGAATGATTGAACACTTCAATCAGAATATCGGGTAAAAACTTTTAATAGATGTTTAGCATATTTTTAATAATACTTTTTCAGAAATACTCTGACAGATGATGAAAAAGACAAATTCATGGAAGTGACGGCTGGCGAATTGCCCTTCAAAATCTATGGAGTCATTCATCTGCTCAGACTGCTCAGTAAGCTTCATGAATCGACCATTCCTTTGGATAGCTATGAGGTTGGTGTTTTTTTCATTGACATTAAAAATTAATATTTTATGAAGATACTCTAGCACAGCCTAAAATGACATTTAACCTTAAAAACACCCTAAAACAGCCAAAAATGACAATTTTCAAAAAAGTGTGCCAGATGGCTCAGTGGGTTTTGGCAGAAAAATTTACGGTCAAGACCAAGGTTCAATTTCTCCTGGGGTTCAAATTTTTTTATTTTTGTTAAGACTTCAAAAATGATAGTTTTAGGCATATTTGAGGGTAGAAATAAAAAATCGAGAGCTGAGGTCGTAAAAGATTATCTTAAAAAGAAGCTCCCTCACTTTGAGCCCACATATCTCACTTCCTGTAAGAGATATCAAATAGTGGTCAACTGATAAAATGGTTATCATAACATCAGTAAAATTTTATTAGTTGACAATTTTTTAATAGCTTTCACAGGAATAGAGACAAATCGGCTCAAAGTTAACAAGCTAAAAAACTCATTTTTCTCCATTTTCAGCTCATCAAAGAAGAATCCACAGATTTCTTGAAATTCGTCAATGTGAACTACAAGAAATACTATCAGAGAGATGCCGAGTATCCGATTGATAAGCATGGTTTCGAATCCAGAACCGGAATCCTCTTTCTTGAAAGAGACATCTAAATATGGCTATTGCGCTCTACCGAACTTTTGGTATAAATGATTTTTGGAAAATTCTATTTTCGTTCAAATTTCGCTCCAAGGAAACATCAGAAGCGAAAGATCGAGTCATATAAAGTTCTTTAGAGCGCTGTTGCCATATTTCTAGTCTTGTCATTATCATTATCATTTCTTCCTACTACTCATTTTCTTGTTTGGTTAAACCTAAATTGTCCTTTATCTTTGTTTCTATGGTCCACATTTGTCCTTTGTTTGCCCACGGTTTGTTTGCCCACCGTTTGCCCATCATTTGCCCATGTTTCTGTTCCATAATCTTGTTTTATGGTCCTTCCAGATCTCCTACTTGTGTTTCTACGGTCCAATGTTTTCTTATGATTCCCATTTTCATCTTTTCTCCTCTTCCTTGGTTGTTTAAAATCAAAATTATCCACTTCTCGCCCATCATTTGCCCTTGATCTTGTTCAATGATCCTCCCCCAATTTTTTAGACATATTTTTGCTTTATTTTGCCCACATTTTCCTGTTCCATGGTCTCAACTACTTCCTCCGCTTTCCATGTTCTCTCCATTTTGGAAATTCCATGCTTTATTTTGCCCCATTATGTTTCTGCCCATGGTCTCTATCTGTACAATGCTTCTTGTCTATCGCTTTACTTTTTTTTTTGCTGTTTCAAATTCCTCGTTTATCCATTGTCAAAATTTGTGATTTTCAGTCGGATCCAACCTCTCGGATATTTCATATCAATATCAAAAAGTTGTGATTTCATTTTGGGATTTGAAGAATGAATTGATCTGAAAAATAGCTATTTTTTAATATTGACATTTCTAGACAAAAATACATAGATTTTTAGTTTCCAAGTTTCAAAAAATTCAAAAAAGGACCTCGTAGAACCCAAACAGTCCTTCAAATCAAAACAGACCTATTTTTCAAAATTTAATGTTTCAAAATCAAAATTTTAGTAACTTTTTACAGAGTTCGATTGATGAATAGATACTAAAAGGTAATACATAGAACTAAAATTTAATACATAGTATTTTTCAATTTTCAAATACACGGATTTTGAACAAAAATTCAAGCATTTTCGCGTAAAAGAAGATACCGTAAACACTCTAATAGAACGCCATCTGAATCGTCAAACGTGAGCACATGTATTTCATTTTCTGTGAGAGTATCAAAAAGTGGTCTATAAAATGTTGTTGACATTATGATAAACAATCTGTCAGTTGACCCCTTTTCGATATCTTTCGAAAAAAGTGAGGTCAGTGGTGGGCCAGTATGGGCGAAAAACCTTCACGTTTTGCAAATTTTCCTCTCTCGCGATGGGAAGTGTTGAGTAAAGGCGCACACGCAATTTTGTCGATGGGTCTCGACACGAAAGAACGAAAAACGGCCGGGAAAATTTAATTTTAATATTTTTAACAAAATTGTTCGGTTACTTCCTTTTTCATGTGTTTTGCATCATTTTTTTCACATAAAATTCGTCAAATTTCGCTAGAAAAATATTGTTTTTCGAGGTTTTAATCAAAATTACCCTTTTTTTCAGGTAATCGAGCCGAAATTCGAGTAATTTTGGTTTTGATAGAAAATTTCAATAATTAGTAACTTTTGATTTATAATTTGGATTAATAATCTTGAAAAACGATATATTCTAGCGAAATTCAAAGAATTTTATGTAAAAAAATGATGCATCTCCATTACGGGTTGAGAGCATATCATCACTTTGACCTAGATTATCTCAATTCATTTGAATAATATCAGAAAGTGGTCAACTGATAAAATATTAAATATTGTATTACCAATATTTTATCAGTTGATTACTTTTTTTGTATCTTTCCCAGAAACCAAGATAAATTAGATCAAAGTTAAAGGGGCCCGAAAGAACGGATGGTTCGGCCCACGGCAACCAACCCACAGGCCGGGCTGCGGCCCAACCCGAAGAACGTTCTTGTTCAGCTCGTAGTTGTGCACAACAATGTTGATCATCTCGCTCAGCGATTCTTTTTCCCGCGCTTTGAATACTCTGTAATTCCAATTTTCCAAATTTTCAAAGTTGGAAATGGTCGACATCCAAAAACTACAGTACATTTTATTGCATAAAGCTGAAAATGTTAGAGTGGACTAAACAAAATCGAGCCTCACTTTTGTAGCTGACAATTTTTTGTATTGATTCAACCTAATGGAAATGAATACTTTGATCGAAAGATGTTCAAAACTTCCTACAAATCATGAACTCATGAAACAGTGTTTTTTCTCAAAATTTGAATAAGGTAAAAATTTTATGAAGATTCTGCTAGATTAGGGCTGTAATAAACTCTTACTATCCAATTTTAAAAATCCTATTCTAAAACCAAGAGTCATCTTTACTATTAACAATCACAAAATTCTGTGTGTGAGTGTGTCCGTTTGTTCCCGTATCACCTTCCCTAACGAAGTCCAGAATGAACCAAATTTTCCCAAATTTTCACAGATAACCGGAAATAGCAGCTAGATGATGCCCGAATATTTAATCTTTCGAAATTTTGTGTCTGACGTCTTCTGGAGACGTTCTTCAATTTCTACAGTGCAAATTTTTCGAAAAATATTGAAGAAATATTCACATCATTTCCGTCTAACCGCCCAAATTTTTTTCTTATCCACGCTATTTCTGAGAGAAAAGTGATTTTTTGGAAATATTCTTTTACTATGGATTTTAAAGATTTGAAAGAAAGAAAAAATTCTGAAACAGTGGAAAAGAAAGAAAATAGAAGGAAAAAAAGAAAGAAACTGATGCGAGGGAAAATAACAGCGCCCTTTCTGATCACTCGATTTTTCAGAATTCAGAATAATTTTTAAAATTTCCGAACTTAATTTCATATCTTTCAAATTTCGGAATTCATAAATTTCTGAGATCTTATTCACCGAATATGCCAAAAAATTTCAAAGTTTCAGATTTTCCAACATTTCAGGTTTTCAATTTTCGGATTGTCTAAATTTTTCGAAATTTAGAGTTTTCGAATTCTGAAATCTACATTTCCGATTTTCCGAAGTTCCAAAAACTTTTCGACGAGACTGTGTTTCGAAAAGTTGAATTTCTGAATTTCTAATTTTTCAGGTTCTCAAAATCTCGATTCTAAACTTTTTCGAAATTCTATAAATTTTGCGAACAGGGCCGTTTCAGGCCAGCTCCTTTAGTAAGTATGCAAAAATCTGAATTTTCCGATTCCTTAAAATTTGATATACCAAAATTTGGGTATTTGAGACATACAGAATGAAACACTTTTCTAGATTTCAAAATTAATGTTTTTTTCAATTTCCGGATTTTCTTACTTCCGACTTTCCGAATTCTAGGAATTCTAAATAACCAAAATATCGAATTTCGAAATTTCCTAACAGACCATGAAAAAATAGTCCCTGGAAAAATGACAAAACCTGTCTATAAGACAACGGGTACTGTAAGCGGGAGCTAGGAGGCTTAGCCCGGAGGGGCGCAAACCGACTGTTTTTCAAAGTTCGAAAATTTCGAAATTCAGAATTTTCGGAGACCAGAAAGTTTAGTAAACCTGACATTAGTTATCCAAAATTTGAAACTTCAGGAAACCGGGAGTTCACATACTCCGGATTTCAGAACATAAAAAATCTTTTTTCAATAGTTTGGAAATTTTGAAAATTTGGGAAATCAAATATTCCTCGAAGAAAATTGATAGTATGCAAAACTTCCACAAATTTTGGTGGATTCGGAAACTCGACAATTTTTAAATTAGAAATTAAATTGTAAGATACAGAAAGTGGAAGCCCCCGACAGGGGGCGTAAACCGACTGGTAAATTTCACAATTACAAAATGTTTAAATCTATACTTACAGTAACATCAATTTAGTTCCCCGTCCTTGAATTTCGTGTATTATTTATTTTTAAATTTAATAATTTGATGAAACAGAAGAATAACTATAAAATCATTTTTTTTTCTTATTTTCCGATTAACCCTAAATTTTTTATTGCTTCCAAAAAAACGGTCCCTTCATAAAAATGCACCCAGAAGCTTCTAGAATCTTTTGAAAGGGTGATAAGAGTTATCACCCAATTATTACTATGAATTATATGTAACTCCTACCAGTTTATCTATCGGGTTGGCCACCTGTGTCGGTGTCCTAATTTTCGGATTATATGCTTTCTATTTTACCTAATAATTAATCTTCTACTGTCTAATTATGCCAGACGAGCTCATTTGGCAAAACGTCTCTTGTGCGTGGGTGCTCTTTGATCCCCAACCCTTCAACTCCCTATAGGGTGTATTGGCTTAAAACACGCGTTACCTCTGACTAGTAAAAGGTTCATGTGGAGAAGATTTGGAACAGGATCTGAAAAATGTCTGTTTCAAGAACTTTTTAAAAATTTTACCAATTTAGCAAAAACATTTCACTAGTTGACAATTTTTTGATAGCTTTCAGAGAAACCGAAATAAATTGCGTCAAAGTCAAAGGACCCCAAAAAACGGTCGATTTGGTCCAACTACCTACTACCTGGACAGCGGCTAGTTTGAAAAAATTGAAACATAAAAAATCTTTTTCAAATAGGTTGTATGTTATCTGACTGTTACATACTGCGATTCGAACCATATTTCCTGATTCAACAAATTCCAAAAAATTAACACTAGATATACTTTTTCCCAAAAATTTCTGTTTCTAAATGTATGTAAATTTTCTGACTGTCAGACACTGCATTCAGTGAATTTTCAGTAAACCTTCGACTCACCTCTTTCAATTTGGCCTTGATATCGAAGTAGGATCGATAGGACTTTTCCAAATCGTTGTTGGCATTTGGTACAGTAACCCGAAGGACGTTCTTGTTCAGCTCGTAGTTGTGCACAACAATGTTGATCATCTCGCTCAGCGATTCTTTTTCCCGCGCTTTGAATACTCTGTAATTCCAATTTTCCAAATTTTCAAAGTTGGAAATGGTCGACATCCAAAAACTACAGTACATTTTATTGCATAAAGCTGAAAATGTTAGAGTGGACTAAACAAAATCGAGCCTCACTTTTGTAGCTGACAATTTTTTGTATTGATTCAACCTAATGACATTACGGGTTGGGAGCATGTGGAGAAGATTTGGAACAGGATCTGACAAATGTCTGTTTCAAGAACTTTTTAAAAATTTTACCAATTTAGCCCGCGCTTTGAATACTCTGTAATTCGGATTTTCTAATATTTTTCAAAACTATAGTCAGTATGAAGCAGCAAAATTAAAATATTTACTTATTAGTTGGAACAGTTAAACTTTGGATGTCTAAAAAATGAAGTAGAATTTCTTGGATGAGGTGTAAAATTCAGAATACCTTCCTCATAAATTGATTTCGAAGGTTTTCCAGAATTTCGGGTAATTTGAAAAAAAAAATTGCAAGTGTTTTGAAGAATCAGATTGAATCCTAAATTTCAGGAAAATTTGAAAAAAATTTAAACAAAAAAAATAGACGATTTTTTTAATTCTCAAGATTTTTGGGTCAGTGTTTTCTGTCTTCCAAAAAAAATTATGTTTTCGCAGACGAAACTGTCAGTTCCAAAATGAGAGTTTTTGTTTTTGTTTATTCAATTTTTTCAAAAAGATTTCCCAAACATATTTCTGTCAAAGAATATAGATCGATAATCCAAAACGTACGAAGTTTCTAGTAGAAAAATTTCTCGTTTGACTTTGAAACCAACTTTCTGAAACTGCAAAAAACTTTGAAAATAAGAGTTTTGGATTCAAACACCATTTTGGTCCTAATTTTTATTTCCTGTGTTAAGAAATCGATAAACATAAAGGAAAACATCTTAAAGTGTTACCTCCCATTTTCCCGTTGCATGGCTTATGAAAGTCCAATTCGGAGGCTTTAAGGTATTTTGTGCCAAAAAAAAAATTGAATAACAAACTACAAAACTGGTGTTTGACAGCAATAAAGCTCAAAAACTGAATCAAAAAATCTGAGAAACCTGAAACAGAAAAAAAATTTGGACCAGAAAACATTCACTTTCGAATTTTGAAGCATAATTTCCTATAACAATTATTTCTCTTTCAAACCTGTCATATCTTTTTTTCTAGGCGTTTTTCAACACAATAAGCTGACTGAGCTGATGAATAATTTCATATAGATTTTGTACGAAAAAAAAATCAGATATTAGAAAAAAAAGTGAATAGGGATAGAGAAATAAAATAGCACAGGGAGAAAGAAAGAGAGAAATAGAGATGAACAATTCTAGCCGGGCGGGATATTTGAATTTTTTATTTTTTGGGAATTCAGAGGAAGGGAATGGGTAGATATGTTGGGGAGAGATCTGGAATTCTAGAAAGTTCTAGAAAACAATTTTTGGGAAAAATATGGAGGTTAGAAATTTGAAAATTTGAAAAAAAATGACATGAAAGCGCTGTTCCATCGTGTGAGGATGGTGGGTGTGTGGGGTGTGAGACAATTAAATTTTCCATTCAAAAAATGAAAAAATAGGGGAAAACCAGTAAAAATTATAATCACAGGCTAGGCTCTTCATCTTTCTCCGAATCAAACATGGAACGGAGCATTAGGAATGTGTGGAGCTGATCTGGGCTTACTGATGCACATCGTGCATCAAATTGGGTCACTGGAGCTACGGCCGGAGTGCAAAGGACTCGGCGAGCCATGGAGCTGAGCATTGGGAATTGGGTGTGGCCGGTGGTGCTCCAGAATGTGATGACGTCTCTGGAAAAGTACAAAGTACAGTACAATATTTCGGTTCAAGTCAAACCCAAAACAGTAAAAAACTCACTTTGTCTGATTTGGTGGATACTGTGATCTCAAATAGCACTCCAATTCATCAGTAACCTGATCATCCTCCAACGACGACAGGAACATTCTTCTCTTCCGATGCGGCTCCCCATCACACGAACTTCCTCGACTCAATGGCTCCTTCGGATTCCGGAATCCACATTGTGACCGTATCTTCTCACAAGCGATTGCTCTTTCTTGATCGGTAAGTATCATGCTTAACTTCCTAATGAGTCTTGGATTCAGCAGCACCGCAATCATATGTTCATCAGTCATAATTAGCTCTTTCTCAGCTTCTAGAATCCTTGAGGCAATTTGTTTGAGCTCACGGAGCAACGCAGTTGGCTCATCGTTCTGAAGTTGGCATTCGTGTTGTAAAGCCAACCATTCAGGCAGTACTTTGTGGAAATTGGGATGTTCGGAGGTTAGAGACTCCACTGTTTCACGGAATGGTAAAATGAAAATCTCCAAATCTCTCATGTGAACCGGATCCAACTTTTTGAAACTTTCCAGCAGAGTATCCGCACATTTCGTGGAAATTATCTGTTCCAGTTGTCCCCATTGATCATTCCATTCTGCCAAAAGTTGATGGACATCGAAAATATCTTCTCGTGGTTCTACAACAAATGGAAGACGGATGTCTGCATCTACAAGGGCTTTGGTGAGCTGGTCGACGGCTGTTAGCATCTCCATGACGGGTTGAGAACATGTGGAGAGGATTTGGAACAGGATCTGCAAGAAAAATGAAATTTGAGATTTTCCAGTTTCAAGAACTTTGTAAAACTTTGTATCTATTTTTCCTTTAGTTTTTGACTTTATGCATTCGAAGAACTTTATTTGTCTCACCTCTTTCAATTTGGCCTTGATATCGAAGTAGGATCGATAGGACTTTTCCAAATCGTTGTTGGCATTTGGTACAGTAACCCGAAGGATGTTCTTGTTCAGCTCGTAGTTGTGCACAACAATGTTGATCATCTCGCTCAGCGATTCGTTCTCCCGTGCTTTGAACACTCTGGAAAAGTATAGTTTTTTAAGACTTCAAAGTTGACAACTTTTCTCTAAATGCCGATACTGTATTAACAGGTGGTTACTGTTTCAATATAGACATGTTAGATCTACTTTTCAATACGTTTTAATTCCATCCTTTTACGTTCAACAATTTTCGGCCAGTAATGATACAGTAATCATCTGTTTCTCCACTCACCCCAAAATATTGCTCCTCCATTTCCAATCGGGACTAATTCGTGATCCATGAATTACTCTATAGTCTCTTCCCGAGTAAGTCAATGTCTCCAAAGCCAATCGACATCCCTGAGGCGTTCTACTCAACTCATTCTTCAAATCATCAGCACAGAATCTTAAATGTGTTTGCATAGCGTTCCTGACAGTTTGAATATCCGGAAACGCTTCAACTGGTGGGCTAACAGCAGGTCCCAAGCGTTTTGATACGTGGCTAATTTGTTTGAGCAGTCCTCGAAAACCCTTTCCAGAAAAGACAATTGGATCGATAAGGTCCACAGCACAACATTTGACAACTGCATCGATTAGAACTTCTCGATCCACGTCACCAATTGTATTCTGGAATTCCTTAAGGGATTAAGAGATGGGTGAAGTTGAACTGAGGTTTAAATGATCTAGACGTACCTCTCCGGAATGTTGGGTTAGCAGTGGAAGAGAAGAGTTGCCGGATCCAGACTGAGCGGATCCGCTAGTGGACTCTCCTCCCATACTAATCGATAATTGATTTTTGACACCATCGACCCCGAAGTTTCTGGCAGACATTGTGGAGTCGAATGAATCGGTTCCTCTTGCTTCTACGGTTTCTGTAGAAGAGGCGTGGGTGCTTGAACGATAGCTGGCACCTATTGGACAACGATGTCTTGTCATGTTACCGGTACCGCCGCCGGTGTCGGTGTAGAGAACTTTGCATGCGTAGCAAGCGACGTACGGTAGACGCAGTTGGGTGGCGCCGTCCAGGACCTGGAAAAGAGGGTTGTAAATGTACTAGTTTTTTTTCGTTTGGAAGAAGTTTTACAGAAAAGTTATTAACTACAAAATTGAAGCTCTTTTTTGCTTAGCACACTCTGAAATTTTTAGACAAATCGAAAAATTATGATGTTCTTTTGTAGAGCTTCAAAGTTGGACCTTTTCTTTTACTGTATTCACAGATGGTGTTTCAACATAGACATAATAGTTCAATTTTGCTAGAATTTTTTTGATGATCTACGCGGGAGCCGGTCAATAAGTTAAACAAAAACGCATTTTTCAGTGGATTTTAGGCCATGTTCAGGAGTCTGGACCTCAGCTGTCAAGTTTCCGATTGAAAGTTATGGAGGATGTAAATAGACCTAGATTGAAAACGTTGCATTCACAGAATTTTTTGAAAATTTCTAGTTTTCGAGCTATTTGCCGATTTCTTAAAGACATCCAGTTTTTCCTATTTCAGTACCAAAACGGACAGTACGAAAGCGGTCGGCAAATAGCAGAAAAACTATACAATTTCAAAGAATTCTGAGAATGCAAAGTTTTCAATCTAAGTCCGTTTTACACAATCCTGAATGTTCAAAGTGCTCGGAAACTTGACAGCCGAGCTCAAGACTCCTGAAAATGGTCAAAATGCCTGAAAATCAATTGAAAAATACGTTTTGTGTATATCTTATCGACCGGGGTACTGTTGTCGCTGTTTCAAAACGTTAAGAAAGTTTTTTAATTTATCTAATACATTTGATATGTCCTGTACATACGGAATTAGAATAATTACTTATAAATCTGATTTCTAGAAATTCCGAAAGTCAATTTTTCCAATTTTTATTATCCAATTTTTGTTTCCAAATGTTCAGAAATGGGCGAAAAGATTTAGGCAAAGCCATTCATTTTCGACTGTTTCTCTGAATTAAAAAATAAATTCTTTTTTGGTTTAAAAAAAAGATATAAATAATAGATGAATAAAAAAAATTGAAGAAAATTGTCTCAAATTTTTTCATTCACTGTTTCAAAATGTTCACAACTTGTTTTTTCATTTCAATTAGCTAATTCCGCGGTAAAAATTTCAATTTTAGAAACAAAAAACAATAAACAACGGGAAATGTAATAATTGAGGTCTCAGATTTCATTTTTCTGCGAAACACAACCAAAATATATCATTTTGCAAAAAAAAATATATCATTTTCCAAAATATATCATTTTGTTGTGATAATTATCCTAACTGTCTAGAGGTCTGTCTCCATTGACGTCAAAGTCTGGTTATACATAGACTTTTTGAAAACTGCGAAAAAAAGGCGATATTAACTTTCCAAATTAATGTAAGAATATATGAATTTTATGAAACCGGAATTTTTTGAATTTTGAATTCTCAAGACTTCAAAAAATCAGAGATCTCAAAAAAGGGATTCTGACCATACCCCTTGACTACCATAAACTACAAAATTTACAAAAAAAGGAAATTCCAAAAATAATTTTTCATCTGGTTCCTCATAGAACCAAAAACGGATATCACACATTTTTTCCCAGTTGTTGACGTAGTAACTGAACCAGAGATGACTGTTTTTGTTGAAGGGAAAAGAAAGCAGAAATATTTATCATAAGGTTAGTAAGGGAAATTTTTTGTTCCTTGGAGATCAAAAATGAGAGGGAAGGATGTTTTTTTTGTTGAGATTTTTTGGAGTTTAAAGGTGGGGGGACAGGAGATTTTACGGGGGATTTTTGGGGCCAGAGTATGCATTCTACCGTGACGGTGTACAACGCTTAATGTCACTCTGCGTACAGCTGTCGTCCGCCTTTATGTATGCAATCGGGCGACCGCTTTCTCTTTGCCCGTGTAGCTCAGTCGGTAGCGGCGCCGCACCCTCAATCCTCGTCCCACACGTTCAACTCCTCGAGAGGCATATTTAAACGAAATTTCGAGAACATTATTTTTTTCATGTCCCCCCACCTTTAATTAGAGCAAAATATCAAGAATAAGCTTGAAATTCAACGTGAAGACTAATGAGAATCGAAAAACAAGGAAAGAAATGGAAATTTTGAAACTTTGAATATTTGACAAATGAAAACTGAGAAAAACAAGATACATGGAGATTTTGAAACATTGAAATTAAAACAAAAAATCTTCTTAAAAGTTTTGTTTGAATTTTATTCATGAAAACGGAAATAGAGAATATACTTATGAACTTTTTGAAACATTACTTTTTTGATTTTTTGGATTTTTAATTGTAGAATTTTCTGATCATGAACTAAGTATGAATAAACCAAATGCTAGTTATCAACTTATTGAAACACAAATTATTCAAAAATTTTAATGTAATATAACACATCTATTTCGAATGAAAGTCATCTAAACTGAAAAAAAGTTCTCAAAGAAAAAAATAGCTAGTCTAGAACATAAACTACATATGTTTTTCCCACCCAAATCTGGTTATCCTCAGGTTACCATGAAAAAAAAATTCACATGACTGAAAATCCCGGATGATTAAGGATTTTCAGATATTTAGATTTTTTTATCGGATTTAACAAAAAAGGACGTTTATGAAATTTAAAAAAAATCTTAAAACATCACAACATGGAAAATGGAAATGTGACGTATTTTTTAAAGACTTTTTGAACTTTTTGTATAGGTTTAACATTGAAATTTGAAATGTTTTGTTTTGAAGGTTTTAATGTACTTATTGTATACAAGTCTCGAAAAACGAAGAAAATTGGTTCCATGAAATTTTTGTACTTTTTGAAACAGAAAAATTTTTTTGGACAAAATTCTAAACCAAAAATTGTAATATTTTGTACTTTTCGGACTCTTTGATGCCTAAACAAACTCGAAATCAGAAGATTAGATTTTTGAAAAAAAAACTTCTGAAGTGGAAAAATTTAATTAAAATTTTTTCTGAAATTGAGAATTTAATTTTTTGAGTAAAACAGAAACTCCCAACCATAGAAATCGCATTATTAAACAATATAATTTCATGAAATTTCAGAACTATTTGAAGCAGGAAAATCTGGAAAAAAAAGTTTTCCAGAGTCGAAAATTAGAAAAAAGTAGAAATCATGAAAAATATCTTTTGGAAAGCGTCGGAGCACTAAAAATCATGGAATTCCAAGAAATTTCAGAACTATTTGAAGCAGAAATTTTTTTCAAAAAAAAATTTTCTCGGACCAACCTGCCCAAACAGATTCCAAACTTCAGATCTTCCTCGTTTCCGAACCAACGAGAATCGTCCACTTCCGCCACGAATATCGTCTTGAATTACTGATTTTGGCGGCATGGTCGCCAAAATTTCTGGTGTGGCAATGTTGATGCCAGCGGTTCCCTGGAAAAATGTTGATTTTCTATTACGGAAACAGTCATCAAAAATCTTTTTAAATTCCTGAAAAGTTCCAAAGTCGGTGGAACGGAAAATATTTCGAAAATTTCAAAAAATTCAAATTCCCGCCTTTTCTAGAATTTGAAATGTTCAATTTTGTCTTATCAGAAGTTATTCAAATACGTCAACTAAAAATTCTAAAACATGCAAAAAATTTTAAAAGTTGGTGAAACAGAATTTCGTGAAAATTCAGAAAATTCGAAAAATTCAATTACCCGCCTTTTCCAGATACAGTAATTCAAAACTAACCTGATCAAATGAAGAATGAGCGCTCATCATATTCATATCAAAACTTCCGGAATTCGCGGTTTCAAACGAGCCACCAGAACAATCCATTTGCTGAAAAATTGAAATTTTGAGATTTTCAAAATTTAGTTTTTTGCATACTTGTAAAATTCCGGGCCGGCCCGCCAAAGCCCGGGCCCGGGCCGGGCCTGAGGAAATTTTCAAGGCCCGGGCCCGGCCCGGAAGGCCCGGTGTCAAAAATTCTGTATTTTTGAGCCAAATTTTGAGCTCTCAATATAATTTTTTCCATTTTTTTCGTATTTCGGATTGTTTGTCTGTCTGATCAAAAAAGATCGAAAAACTCGAAAAAAAATTTTTTGGTCGAAAAAAATCACATAAAAATCACATAAAATCACATAAAATCACATAAAAATCACAAAAATCACCCCTTGTGTTTTTTGAAAATTTCAAAACTAGTGAAATGACGGGCCCGCCGGGCCGGGCCGGGCCTCCGAAATTCCGGAAAAAGCCCGGCCAGGCCCGTTACAAGTATGGTTTTTTGGAAAATTTGACTATTTTTGGAGAGGGCAGCATCTATTATCCTCTGATGAAATTTCAAATTTTCATGATTTAAATGAAACAGGCGAAATTTCTTCGAATTTTCGAAAAAAAATTTTCAAAATTCAAAATTTTCGGATTCCAGATGCAGAATTGGTATTTTCATGTGATTTTAGCTCGTGATATCAATTTTTATCACGATTGGACAATTTTGAAAATTTTCAATTTAAAAAAAAAACGTTTTTTCGATTTTTGAAATTTTCAAAAAAAAAAGTTTTGGAAAACGATTAGTAAGCTATTTCAGCTCGTGATATCAATTTTTATCGCGATCGGACGATTTCGAAAATTTCAAATTTTTTCCAAAAAAAATTCTGAAAAATAATCAATATACCTTACCTCAATTTTTGGCACGGTTCCAAAATTAAGCTTCATATCATCGAGTAATGGAGATGTGACCCCAACGGGTCGTGAGATTGCCGCAGTCAGCTGGGAGATTAATCCCGGATTTAGGCTCAGCGAATTCAGAATGTCCATTGACGTGGCAGGCTGGCCAGTACCGCTTTTCGGTGACTCGCCTGAAAAGAATTAGAAGTTAAAAATCAAATTGTATTTTTGAAATTCTATTATTGTAAGTAGAAAAACTGAAAAAAGTGACATACACGAAACGGGACTTTTTCGGAAATCCGACGGCGACGGTACGGTTAAAAGACGGCTGTCGGTGGCGACGGGCGGCGGTTCCAGCTGAAGTATTAGTAAAAGTATTAGTTACTGTAGTTGGTTTGGGTTACTGTACCTGAAGAGGTGACAATGGGGATTGAACCAGAAGGCGTGGCACTTCAACTGGCGAGAATGCCGAACGCCCAGTGTCAAATGACCCAACACGGAATGGGGCTGAATTAGAGGGGTTAGTAGACATGTAAAAAACTATGAAATGTTGAAAAAATTCCTTTGGGAGCTCTGTTAAAAAAGCAAAAAGGATTTGGGGGGCAGAGGAATCGAACCCGCATAGTGAAATTGGTAGTGTAGCGCACTAGCCACTGTACCGCAAGGCTACCAAAGGTCAAGAGTAGGGTTGTCGTATATGTGAGCGGCTTTTCCGCACCTCTCTAGGTGTCTAAACCCGCCAGGCTTGCTTATGGTGACAGTAAGAAAGGTCAGAATTTCAAGTTTTCAGATTTGGTTTTGTTATCAGTAGTGATAATGATAATGGTTATAATTCAAAAAGACAGGAAATTTTGGCTCATTTTCGATCATCTTTAATGATTGAGATAACTACAAAATATCCGATTTTCAAACTAAAAAATCACATGCGCCTTTAAAACCAACCAACCTGGACTGAGCTTCTGACTTGCGGACACATCAAAGCTAGCTGCTCGACGCGGCTCCGGAGCCATGGAGCTCGACGATGGAAGTGTTAGATGGTGTTGAAGAGATGAGGCATTGTGGAGATGTTGCATGGAGTGGTGGTGGGTTGTTGTCACCTGGAAAATGGATTTTGGAACTTTTGGAGGTTTAAAAAGCTAGCTCAAACCTCAGATATTCAGTTTTTAGAGCTAGCCAAATTTTTCTACAATTTCCTTTTTTGGATCTCCTGCTCCCTCGCTCCCCCTCTCGCTCTCTCTTGCATGCCCCCTTTCTTCATCGTCACCGCGTTCATGAAATGTTTGTGGCTCTGTGGCCGAGTGGTGCGCGCGCTTGACTTTGAAACTGGCATGGAGGGTTCAACCCCCGCTGCTGTTTTAAGCTTTTGTTTTCTTTTTTTATGCATTTTATAAGGGACTTTACAGCTTCCAGACCCAATTTTAACCTATTTTCTTTATTTAACAAACCTGATTATGTTGTGATAGCAAGTTTTGAGCAAACTGTTGATGCTGGAACAGATGGTTTGTCTGTTGATGGGGATGGTGCTGATGGTGATGCGTCGTTGGATCGTCATCCTGAACTGCCGGCGACTTTTTGAGCGAACGATTTCGGGAACGAGCGCCGGTGCGCACCGCGTCAGCCTCCGATGACGACAGTTTGCTGAAAAATTATGTTGTTTAAAAAAAGGAATTTCGGAGTGTCGTTGTGTCGGACCCCGACAAAAGTTATCCAGAATTTTCCAATTTGGTTGAAAATCTCAGAGTATGCTAAACAAAACTAGAGCTTCATTTTTGTAATTGACAACTGTTTTGTAAAAATTCATCTAAATGAGATATGCCGTCTCGCACCAGTCGGAATTCAGTTTTAGCACTTAGTTGGGTTTAACCTAAATCTCTTTTGGACGAATTTAAACCAAAAAGTTGTCAACAACAAAAACAAAGCTCCATTCTTGTCTAGTATAATCTGAAATTTTCAGACAAATTGAAAAATTTTGAAGCAACTTTTGTAAGAGCTTTAAAATTAACAATTTTTGGGCTCTAAAAAGGTAAAACGTCAAGAAAGTTCTATTCATTTTCAAATGAAATATTGAGTAGATCGGGGAAAAAAAAGAGGTGGGCGATTTTTTTTTTCAGAAGACGTCAGAAGGTTTTGAATTTAAAATTCTAGGAAAATAAGAAATGAGAAAGAAACGTAGAAAGGAAAAGGCTTGATTTATGAAGGTATGAGGGTTTTTTGGAGTCTAGAAATGTTCGATTTTCAAAAAATTAATGTTTCGAAAACTTTTTGATTTATTGGGATTTTGAGAGCGCTAATAGACATGATGTATTGAAAAAGTATTGAAATCTGAAAACCAAAAAATCCAGACGCTCCATAACGTGGGCGTTTTGTACTGAAATATGTGAAAAATCGTCATTTTATATTCTGTTTTTGGATCTTGAAAAAGTGTAGGCTGGAATATGAAGACGTGGTAAAATTTATTTAAAAATTCCAGAATTTAGTCTGGAGCGACATTGAAGCTCCATTGACCACATTATGGCATTATGAGAAAAATGAAACAGCAATTTTTTGGAAACTATGGATTTTGAGTAGCTGAATTTTGGATTACGTTCATTATGGTGTATACCCTAACTCCAAAAGTCCTACGAAAAATCTCCTGTCCCCCCACCTTTGAGAAATTTTTTCATGTTTCATCTTTCCTTTAACCTTGAATTCAAGCTAAGACAGACACTATTTTCAGTATAGACGGAACTTAAAAAATCCCTAATAATTTGAAAAAAAATGGGAAAAAGTCACATTTTTGATCTAGCTATCATCTATAATTCTTGTTTATCGAAACTCAAAATTTTGTTTTTTTTTCCAAAAAAGCAATCAAAAAATCACACCTGGACTAACTACGAAACAAAGTGTCTTTTGAATAATAAATCGAGTTTTGAGTCATTGGAAAAAAATTGAAAAGAAGAAAAAAAAAAGAAAAAACGAGAAGACAGAAATCGAGAAATAATCCGTGTCAGTGATGCACATTGACACTCCCATTAACGGATTAGCGCAAAAACACAAAAGATAGCGGGGTGAATTGATGGAAAGAGGAGGGAAGGAGGGTTATAATAGGTTTAACCGGTCATGTGGTACTGGGGTAAAGAAAGTGGGCGGAGTTTAGGAGGTGATTCAGGTTTTGAGTTAAAAGATATGGTTCTGAGAAATGAATGTGACAGGATAATTGGAATTAATAGAAAAAAGAATTTGGAAAATCGGAAATTATTTGAAATAATAATTTTTGTAAGAAAAAATTGGTGTATTAACCAGAAAAACTGAAAATTCCAAGTTCAAAAAAACTTTTGGAAACTGTAATTTTTCAGCCAAAAAAATCTCTAATACACGCCAAAAAGAACTTAAGTCGCTTAAAGGAACTGAACTTGTGGTCAAAATATTAGAGATGTGGTGCCAATGCCCGCTGAGCTACGCGGTCGGCGGTCGGCGGTAGGATGATGGTCTAGAGCTACGCGGTTAGTAAAACAACCCTATGGAAGAAAAAATTAAGGAATTTTGGCAAAAAATAACTAAAATAAATTGGTATTGGTAAAGTTAGAAACTAATTTAGCAACTTCTTGGAACAGAAAATTAATTGAATGTTATTTTTTCAAAAATATAGAAAAATATATCAAAAATATATATTCTCAGTTTTTTCCAAGGCTTATGGCACAGAGAATTAAAACAGGATAAAACGGAAAGCCTTATCTCAATTTTCTGAAACAGAAAATCTCAAAAATGTTTCTCTAATAGAAGGTCACTCAAACAGTCAACTTTGAGCTCGATTATCTCAGTTCCTATAAGACCTATCAAAAATCTGTCAATTGATAAAATATTGGTGATATAATGATGAACATTTTACTAGTTGGCACATTTTTGATATCTCTCAAAAGAAGCGAGATAATTGAGCTCAAAGTGCAGGTATAGGGCGGGCTTCTGTTAGAGAAAAATACAGTAAGAAAATTCTAGGGCTGAAATTGGATTTAATCAAAAATTTAGGTGGCAAAACATCCTTAAATATGTACTACGAAATTAAGAAATTTTACGTAAAACTGAAGGGAAATTAAAAGGTTGACAGCTGAAAATCTATATGACGCAATTCTGGACAAGAAAAAAGTTGGAAAATAATTCAAAAATAGTCGAAAACTTAGTTTATGGCATTTTCAAAATAAATTTTGTAGCTAAAATATTTGAAAACTGCGAGAACAATCAATTCAATAGTCAAAATTATAATTTCTCATGTTTCATGAATATTTTGAAAATGGAAAAATTTTTGAATTAGCACTGTGTGTCGGGCCCATGCTTAATAACACGATTCGAAATTCGTGGACATCCCGACAAACTGATACACAGACAGCTTCGCCTTCAAGGCGAAGCTGAAAAAAAAATTGTTAAGCAGGGTTTTGCGTCTTTTTTTCAAAGAACCATGTATCTCGAATTTCGATATGTTTGAAATTATTATAGAACGGCAAACTTCCGAACTTTGTAGTAGCAAGTCAACATGGAAACTGGGAAGAACTAAACTTTTACATGAGCGTGAAACTGGGAATTTTAACTTCGAAAATTCAAATTTTTGGTTTTCTAAAAATCAACGTCTACTAAAAACTTAGTATTAAAACAGTGAAAAACAAAATTTGTCAAAAATGCCAAACAAAAAAAGAAAGTTACAAAAAATTTTCGGTTTTTCGGAAGTTTCATATTTGTTTAGTTTATAAGACGATCACTAAATTGTTGATCGATCCGGGACATAACGAAACTGTAACGTTCTAGAACTTTTGTAGTGTTTTATTCATAAAAAGGTCCTAACAGTCTGAATGCACCAAAAACGAACTAGAACGGATCAAATCGAGGAGAGTTATGATGATTCGAAGTTTTCGAATTTTTAACATGAAATTATAGAAATTGTAGTCCTTGAAATTTCCTTCCAATCTAACTAAAATTCGAAAAAATCAGACAACTTTGAGAATGGTTATGCGCCTTTACAGTTTGGGAGGGACGCAGAAAAACGAGAAAGCTCTCGAATCTTTGCGTCTCTCACAAGTTGAAAAGCGCGTAACTCACTTGAAAGAAAAGCTGAAAAAAAAGAAAGTTAGTTAGAATTATTGGAAATTTTAAAGGCTTTCAGATGATATAAAACGATTCTAGAATATTCGAACAAAAAAAATGTAGAAAAAGTTTTTTTTTCAAAAAACTCTGAACACTAAATCTCAATATTTCCAAAGTTTATATAGAACTTGTAGCTCTCAAAATTCCCTTCAAATTTAGCTAAAAATCGAAGAAATCAGACAAATTTTAGCAGAGTTTCGCACCTTTAAAGTTTGAGTGAGACGCAGAGAAGCGAGAGTGCCCTCACATCCCTGCGTCTTTCCCAAACTTTAAAGGCGCATAACTCACTTCAAAGTAAAGCTAGAAAAATGAAAAATGGTCAGAATTATTGGAAATTTTTAGGGCGGCTTTCTGATGATATACGACACTTTTTGAAAAAAAACTGTAAGCATTATTTAAAGCTGAAACCTTGAAGTTAAGCCTTTGAGCCTAAGAATAAAAACTTCGAAGCTTGGAAACTCAAGCTTCATAGCTAGACTCCTAAGCTTGAAGCAACATTTAAAGTCAAACTTTAAAATTTCAGTTTTTTTTAACTGTTTTTAATATTTCATTTTTCAGAGAATATTCAGCATCTCTTCAATACAATCGACATTAATGGAAATTTCAAGAAAAAATTCCAATTATTATTTTTTTTTCTAAATTAACCTATTAAAATTGACTCTCTCTCTCTCTCTCTCTCTCTCTCTCTCTCTCTCTCTCTCAGAAATTCTCATTTGATGACAAAATGAAAGAAAAAGGCGGATAGAGCAAAAAAGAAAAAAAGCCCTTCCTAGAAATTGTGTGAGGGATTAAAAAAAAACGAAGAGGAAGAAGAAGAAGAAGGCGTTCGTGGAATTTCAATGAGCAATCTACTCCCGCCCGATGTCTAGTCCAATTTTTTTGAGAAAAAAAGAAACGGAAAGACGTAAGAGAGACAGATGAAACGGAAATGTTGTACTAAATTACCACACGGGGTTTCAATTGATCTTTGGAAGTTTGCTTGGGGGAAGAAATCTGGCATTTGATGGTTTTAGAGGAAACTTGAAGGATAAAGGTTGTAAATCACATGTGTTATAAGATGGATGATCATTTTTCTAGTAAAAATTTCGAAAATATGATCCAGATGAAATAGTAATTTTTTGAAAAAAAAAATTTCGAATTTTTTTCAAACTTCTCTGAATGTGTCGTATATCATCTAAAAGTTCTTAAAAACTCCCATAATTCTAACTTACATTAATTTTTCTAGCTTTTCTTCCAAGCGATTTATGTGCCTTTAAAGTTTGGGAGAGACGCAGAGATGCTAGAGTGCTCTCGCTTCTCTGCGTCTCTCTCATACTTTAAAGGCGCATAACTCTGCACAAAGTTGTCCGATTTTTTCAATTTTTAGCTAGATTTGAAGGAAATTTCAAGGGCTGACAGCAATTTTCTCGATGTTTTCTTCCTGGAATTTTTCCCGAGGGGAATTTTTTCAAAGTTTTATTTAGGGATTTTTTCCCGACGGGAAATTTCCCGAAAATTTTTTCACGAAATTCCAGGAAAAACGGGAAACTTTTCAGTAATTTTATTTCTAGAATTCTCAAATTTTCAAATATTTTTTGCTTTTTGAATAGTTTTCCATGCGAATTCATTGGACACTTTTGAGAAACGTAAAGAAATCGACAAATCTCAACATAAATTGAGAAATACAATCAAAAATTAATTGAAAAACCAACTTCCCGATTTTTCCCGATTTTCCCGAAAATTCCCGAATAATAACTTCGGGAAAAATTTCGGGAACAACATTTCCTGAAAATATTTTTCGGGAAATTTTTCGGGAACCCGATTTCTCGAAGAACAATTTCGGGAAAATTTTCGGGAACAGAAGTTCCCGAAAAAATTTCCCGAACAAGTATGGCTACAAGTGCTATGAAACCAAATTTTGAACTTTCTTTTTCAAATTCAAACATTTCACAGTTTCATATGTCCAGAACATTGAAAATTGCAAAAGCAAACTTTTTTGCGAATACAATGATACGGTAATTATTGGATCATAATTTCCATAGAAACTCGACGCAGTTTTGACACAATCGAAAATGGATAGATGTAATTACAAAGAAATAATTACAAATTATGAAAATTTTATAATATGGTTTCTCAAAAAGTTCAAATTCCCTAAAAATTCAGTTTCATAACTTTCATAAAAAATTTAAGTAAATTTCATAATTCAATAAAAACCTTGAAGACGTGTTTCTCTGAACCCTTCAATCTCTAACCTTTCTCTAATAAAATTTCATCACAAAGATCATTGGTCCCTCCCCAACCTTACCCCCGCCACTTATATTTCGCCTCCTAAACAAACGGACCCAAAAAAAAAGAGAACTTTTTTGTGTGGTTTGTAGTCAATTGGATTTTTTTAGAAGTGGCTAAAGCACTACCCTTTTGCCCTCGAGACGCGGGTTCGAGTCCGGTTGGCGCCAGCTTCTTTTTTTTAAATTTTTGAACAGAGTTCAGAAGTGAAAGAGAATTTGTAATTTTTTCTCTCATCGGTTCGAGTGATATTGCGGGAAAGTTTTTAAAATGTTCCAATTTGATCAGTATCAGGTAGGAAGGAAAATTTAGATATATTTTGATGCTTTTAAGTGGTTTTTTTTAATGAAGAGCCAAGTCAGCTGGATACAAAATTGGAACCTTTGGAACCGCAACTAAAAAAATCCAAAGACCTGAAAATATGATTTAAGGCAAAGGTAACTCAATTTATCGAACTTCTAAGATTTGCTTTTTTTTTAGGAATTTAAGATATTAGAAAATCGCGATTTTTTCAGTTCTCAAATTTTCGGAGCTCTAAATTCGAATTTTCTTAACTTTCTCAATTTTCCAACTGCTGAAATTCTAAAATTTCGAAATTTCAAACTTTCAATTTCAGAAATTTCAAACTTTCAATTTCAGAAAAGCCGGGAATTCTAAAAATCGCAAATACGGAAAATCTAGATTTCGAAATTCAGAAACTCAAAAACTTGAAAACAAAAACAATCCTGAATTTCTATATAAAAAATAAATCAGAGTTTGAACTCAATTTTTCAATTTTGAAACGTCTTGAATTCTCTATTTTCAAAACCCGGAAAATTAGAATTACTAAATACCAGAATTCCAGACACGCAGAATTTCAGAAGAAACTTCCAAAACTCTGAATTTCTAAATTTAATATTTTCCATGTTTAGACCAAACAAATTTCCTTGAATAAAAGTTTCGAAGCTTCTTTATAAGATTACGGATACTGTAACCGGATACCAGGAGGTTGAGCCCCGAAAGGGCGTAAACTGTATTAGAAAAACCCCTTGAAATGAAGTACCCCATAGAGACTCTAATAAAAAGAGAATGGCCGGTCCGTAAATACATTTTTACGGTTTCTGAATTTCCAAGAAGTGTCGAAAGAGGGATTCCTGAAACTCTTCATTAGATTACGGATACTGTAACCGGAGGATAGGAGGTTTAGCCCCGAAGGGGCGTAAACCGACTGGTTATTCTACAATTCAGAATTTGAAAAGATCGTTTCTGATTTATATTTTTCATTGAAGTTTCTGTTTTATGAACGAAACATATTTGGAATCTGAAATGAAATTTCAATATAAGATCTGATCTCGCTGAATGAATAATTTTTCGTAAATTCAAAAAAGGTCTATTTTCAGAAAAGGTTACATCAGTTTTCAAAATTTAAGTTCAAAATACTGGAAACTAATATTTGAAAGATAAATATAGGATTTTTTCAAAAAAGTCACAAACTAGAAAAGCTGGAAAATTCTAGAATTTCTGAATTTTTAAAAAATCTACAATTTCTGCTAGATTTTCAGAAAGCGAGAATGATAAAAAACGAAATATTAATTAATTAATTAATTAATTATTAATTATTATTAATTAATTGCTTCGGAAATTTCAAAAAGTTATGAAACAGTGATTTTCGGAATTTTCAGGAATTTTTTTTTGAACATGAACATTTTCGGTTTCACCAGGTTTTGATATTTAAATTCAAACTTCTAAAAAGTAATCGTTAAATGAAAAAAAAATACTATAAAAATCCCCAGAAGTCACAAAATAGAGAACTTGCGAATTTTTAGGAATTTCTAAATTTCCGAAATTTCAAAAAAACGATCAATCGGAAAAAGTTGCTTCAAAAATTTCAAAAATTTATGAAATAGTGAATTTCGAAACTTTCAAGAAAAAATTCCAAAAAAAGCGCGATTTTTAAATTTCCGGTTTCATCAAGTTTTAAAATTCAAAATCAATTTTCTGTGAACTACTCGTTTAGGGAAATTTTAACAACAATTTTAAAAAACTTTTCAAAAGTCACAAAACAACAAATTAAGAATTTGAAAAATCTTTTTTAATAATTTCAGCTAGATTTTCAGACTCATAGAAATGGCAAAAGTCTCAAAATAAACAGT